ACAAAATCTGTCCCTCGCTCTCCCTCTCTGTCTTTCACTCACTCACACAGACACACACACCACCACCATCAACTTTGCTAAATTACTAATGAAAAACATTGACCAGACAGCTGTGATTGAGCAGCAATGTCCATCCAACTCTTTTCATGGTTGATGTAGTCGTGATAGTTTTGTGAGGCCACATTGAAAAGCCTCGGATACGGAAGCGTAGAGCTGCCACCCAGGCAAAAGAAAAATAGAAAAGTGAAAAGTATATTGTTCTAACAATATACCTTTCACGTTTGAACAATATAATATCACGTTATTACAATATAGAGAATTGTCACGTTCGTACAATATAAATATTATATAGGCTACATCGCAGCTCCAGTCACGCTTCCATCACCGTCTTTCTCGTCTTTTCCCAGAGTAACAGCCAAACAGGAGGATCTATTGGCGAGCACTGCTTAGCCTTGCACACATTCTTATTTTAAACTTAATCTGGAATTCATTGCAAACTGTTTGTGGGGGATATGAATGACAATATTTTGTTTTTCAACAGGAGTTAGTAAAAAACCTCTCCAGTGTGATCAAATCTTCTTGCCAAACATCCGCAGCTTGGCAGTCTATACAGCACTATAATGACCAGACCTAATTCTTTTGAAGACCTTACATCTTTCCACAGGTCTCCACTTCATCAGACATCACCTAGACACAGAGCTGGGTGATGCCAGCGCAAACAGCAGCCTAACCGACGAAGATGATGGATCCATGGGGTCAGGAAAGCCAGAAGCAGGGCTGGAGAGGTACCTTTCATGTCCATTCACTGGAGGTGTGGATGTATTGCATGGCTTTCCTCACATCAAGAAGCTGTTGATCAAAATCAATACAGCTCTTCCTGCATCTGGAGCTTGTGAAGGACTTCTTAGTCATGGAGGGCTCCTCTTCACTGCTGAACAGTTACAGCTTCACAGAAAGAACCTTGAGAGCAAACTGCTGCTGAAGCTTAACCATCACCTCACTGAGTGAAGAAATAGCACATTTTTGCTAAATATGCAGAAATAGATGCACACCCATACAATTTATGGTAAACTGAGCTGCCTTGTATGTACATATGTTGAAGATGTCTCGTTCTAACGTTTTCTCTGAGGCTGCTGTGCCATTTGGAGCCAAAGTGAATATAAAGTTTACAGCATATCTTGTCACTGGAAATTGTTTGAACTGTTTATATATTTATATTATTTACTGTGGGTATTGGTGAAAAAAGCTTTATGTTGTGAAAAACTGAAATCTTGAAATTATAATTGTTGTGCCTTATTTTGTTGATCTTTTTACATATATTCCTTTTGAAAATACTAAAATTTGTATATTTATTTATTTTTGTTTGTCTGATAGCATTTATTTATAAAATAAATCGGACATTTCAAACAGTCTTTTCACCAAGTTCTTTTTTACTCTTACTCGAGTAACTTTTTTGAAGACTACTTTTCACTTTTACTTGAGTAATAATATTTTAAAGTAATGCTACTCTTACTTCAGTACAATTTTTGGATACTCGACCCACCTCTGGTTGGGAGGGGTTATCTATACTTTTGTTGTAAAAATGTTCCATCTCAATTAGGTACTGTATGATTATTATATTTTTAGTAGTGTATCCCACAAACAGCAAATATTGTCAAAAAAGTACGAAATCTTTGGGGGTGCTTTGATTCATTTTTGGGGGTGCTGAAACACCCCCAAAAATGGGCCAAAATCGCCCCTGACATGAGCCAAGGTTCCTTAGATTACCATGACCTGACAACCTACACAGACATAAACTTATTGTCATTATTTTGTCATTCATTCTGTGGTCTTCAGAAAGCCTCATTTGGCCATCACTGATAAAAAGCAGCTGGGAGGTTGGAGGGCGTGGTCTTTGATTTACAGAGCAGAGTGACGTCATCTCCCTCCATCACAGGGAGGACAGGACAGTGTCCTTCATCCCACTCTCGGTAATATCAAACCAACGCTGACCAGTTCAAAGTCACTCAAACCCTCCTCCTCTTCTTCCGTGACATGATGTCGTTGTTGTGGTTATCATGAAAGCAATGGTTCGTTTGACAAAGCTTTGAGAAAGCGTTCAAATGTTCAAACAGAATGATAACTAACTATAAAGGAATAATTTGATGCCTTCATTGACCGTTAAAACAAATTGTAAGTGGCTGAATTAACTCAGGAAGCCACAGACAGCAAATCCACATGAATGAAAACATGTCAGTACTTGTGCGATGCCTTCACTGACAGTATGATGCCTCTGAGATTAGAGCAAAACTTTTCTTTTTGAACCTGAATGACTACCAATGACTTTGTTTAATGTTTATCTTACCGTGACTTGTGTTGATCGTGTTGCAGATTCGTGGAAACAGCTTGCATCTTCCTGTAACTGAAAGCGGTTTGGCTGAGAGGAAGTGAGCTGAGACGTTGTGTGAATACTGCTTAATCGACTGCACCTCTCTGCTTTAATGACTTCCCACTGAGGCTGAAAAACTTTGTGCATGTTGACCAGTAATCTGATCACTGATCAATAATTTCCTGACACAGCCCCCCCCCCACAACACGAAACTACACGAAACGAAACAAAACAACAACAACTGTGAGTCACAAACTGCACGCACGGGAATAGAAAAAAAAATGACGCAACTCGAACAAAAGTATTTGTAAGACTCCGCTGCGTGCCGTGAGGTGATCCCAGGAGGAGGCGTCTCAGCGGAAGGACAAATAGTTCCTATATCAGGTATTTTTTACACTGGAGTTTCTTCGTATTGTATTCGTCTCCTTCTGTGTCCTCTTTTGATAACAAAATACACCTTTAGCTCAAATCAGTGAAGTTAAAAATTGAGTTTTGAGCAAGTTCAAGTTCAAAGCAGGAACTTACAAGTCTAAAGTTTCGGTATCAATCCGCAGCCTAGTATCGATCCTCTGGTACGCTGTAAAACAGAAGCTGAAACATGGAGTTGTATTTGGAATAAACTTTGGAAACTTTGTTTGGTGTTTATAGAGATGTCACCGAGAACATGTGTAACATCTTCCGCGCAGGATTTGTGCCGTGGATCATACTCTCCGTGACTCTCGACTCAGGCTCCGATGGTAAGTTGACAGTTTGTTTTAATTTAATCTCATTTAAATGTTGTTCTGACGGAACCTTTTGCAGACATGTTCACGTTGTTTGTAGTGACGCATTTTGTTTGGAGTTCACTTTGATTTTTCTGTGTGAAAACAAACCAAACCACGAGTTTAGAAACTCGGATTGGGACCAGAGTAAACGAGCTATAGGTGTGGAAACGCCCTTACTCTACTGCTGTCGCAGTTACAAGAACGCAGAACACACACCAAGAATATGTGTTCAATCAGTCACATTCAACTGACTTTGTTCTGCAGACGAGTGATTTCCACGTTTGGCGGTGGGACAGTCAGCTTTTATGTTTAAATGGTTTCAGAGCGCTGATGTGCTGCCGCCGCCTTCACAGCAGCACTGAGAGCGCGCTCAGTGCTAAAATAATTAACTGTAATTAAAATCTTTGTTTTACCGCTCTGTGCGATAAATCACCACGTTCTGCAGCATTCATATTTCCTTATTTGAAAGTGTTAGCGAAGGAGAAATGTGCAGGAATTCTGGTGTAAATATCGAGACTGCGCCGAGGATTATTACAGAGGAATAAACACACAACAGCCTTCCGCCATTTTTAGACTTTATTAACTGTATTGACAGCCACATGCACGTCACATGCCAAACAATGATTTTATTGGCTGTTTCCATTTTCCTTTATTTGCTCTCTACATCAGCTCAAACACTGTCTGTGTCTAGAAAATACTAAAGAAAGATGTCCTTCTTACAGTTTAGAGCTTATTTTTATCTAACACCTCCACTTGCTCTCACTTTGTTATTCTCCTAAAAACACGAGGTTTCTCACCCAGTATCATATAAAACTTTTTTATGCATGGTATGAACATAAACCATTCAAATTTAAACAACTTAACTTTTGTAGCAGGTTTTGTCATCACATCTTTTACCATCCCATTCATTGGACAGCTATCCAAAATAATTTTCCTTTCATTTACAGTTGACCTTATAAAGTGATAGTTTATGTCACTACGCTTGCATCTCTGTCTGGTTAAAGGATTCATTGCCAATGCTATCACACCCTGGTTGTCTTCATAAACCTTAGGTGGTGCATAGGTCCATCGATACCTTCAAACAGCTGTATGAGTACATGCTCTCTTGTAGAGTTGTAGCTAAGGCCATGTACTCAGCTTCACAGCTGGATAATGCAACAGTGGTTTGCTTTTTAGTTTTCTATTACATTAAAGGATCATTCACAGTCAGGCCTATACAGTAACCAGTTCTGCTGTGTCATTCTGTCTGTTACATCAGCCCCACAATCTGTATCACTATGCGCTCAGAACTCTGGTTTTATTGCAGCACTGATCAGACGGCCTCTCTGTACCTTTGGAAATCGTTCATCTTTTCTACACCATCAGTGTAGTTCAGTTTTTGCTCACAAGGTGTCGCTCTAGCTTTGTAACCTTGCATATTAAACCTTTCAAGGATTTTTTTTTTCCCACATATTTTTCTTTTTTCTGTGACATCCTCACAAAGTTATCTCTCTGGTCAAAATCAACACCAATACAATGTTTCAGTTAACTCTTTCATTTAGAATTTTCCTGCCTACATTTCCTTCACAACAATCAGTGTGTTGTTATTGCTGGCGTCAATGATCAGGTCATTTACCCATTTTATCGAGATTACCTTTTCATTCTTTGGTGTTCATGTGTAAACATAAAATTGAGGAGCACAAAGTTGTTCCCACTCATATGTTCATGTAACATCTTATTCCAGCTGCCTGATTGTTTTAGCCCATACAGTTACTATTTCAACCTTTCATTTGTATCAGATTCAGCTACCTTTTAGCTCTCTGGTTGTTTCATGTATGTCTCACAATTTACTGGTGCACGTAGATAGGCAGTTTTAACATCCATCTGATATAAAACCATGTTTAATTGTACTGCTCTTTGCATAGATACCGTGATAGTGGTCAGATAAGCAGTGGGAGAGAAAGTTTCTTCAAAGTCTGCACCCATCTTTTGACTTCGTCTTTTTAGTCCTCTTTTATATCTCAAAGTCATCTTTATCACATGGCATCATGTCAGTTTGTGTTTGTCTTCCCACAGTTGTTTCCATCACAGACATGACGAGTCTGTGGCTGAGCACTTTCCCACTGTTAGGATAAACGACCCAGTAGGCTGAAATATTTTTGTCATTTCCAGCTAACATTCCCTTTGCACACCTTGAGTCTAGTCTTGTTCTGTTTATAAACATAATATGCTGTTCCAAATGTTTGCATCTTGAAAAGGTTTGGCTTTCTTCTTGTCAGCATCAATTACGGTGTCTGTTTTGTGAGTTTGTTAAAACATCTGTTCCTCACCACAGCTGCTGTTTGGACTGCATACACTCAAGTACCTTAAGTAACTCTCTCTCTCTGTTAGCATACATCTGGTCACGTCAAAGACTGTACGCCAGTTTTGCTTAGCAGTACTCTTTTGATGTGGTGTATGTGGTTCTTAGGTCTCATGTCTGATCCCAGTTTTGCTAAGAAGAGTCTGATAAGTTTTCCCCATAAAGTCTGTTCTGATCTGATACATTTAATCTGCCCATACTGGGCTGTATCAGCCAGAAACTTTTGTGTTGCTTGCTTGAGGGTGGGTGGGTTTATCTGTTTTAACTTTGGTAAAGGCAGCTGGTGGGGACACCCAGCCTTGTGAACAAGATAACTCGAGAAAGAGGACTTTCAAATTGATACCTCAGCTTTAAAAGGCTGATGGGGTATTGTTGTCAACTGGTTAGGCAGGTGGGCAGCGGTCTGGAGAACAAAGTATGTGAATGTGAGAATGAAGATGAGTTTGACCAGACCTTGGTCAGAAGTCAAGTTTTTTCAAAAATCTTGTGAGTGCGGTAACTCAAGAACAAGGCAACATTGGATTTTTTTTTTAAATGGATACCATTAGCTTTATCTCTGTTTTCTCTCTCTTACTTTAGCTATCTTTTATTTCTTCTTTCAGACAAGATAAACATCACAGCTGAGTCTGGACAGAACATCACTTTGCCATGTCGAGCTCACAACAATCGGAAGCCCATCATAGTTGTAGAGTGGATCAGATCTGATTTGGGGGCAGGTTATGCCTTGTTGTTCCAGGATGGGCACTTTGTTCCAGATCATCAGCATCCATCTTTTAAGAATCGGGTGGATCTTCAGGACAGGCAGATGAAGGATGGAGACGTGTCTTTGATTCTGAACAACGTGACGCCTGCTGATAGTGGAACATATGAATGCCATGTCGTCATGCGAGGAGCAAACCAGAGGGAGAGAGCAACAGAGCACACCTGTACCATCGAGCTAAAGATTCTTCCTCTTGGTGAGTTACTACAATTGTTTTTGATCAAAAAACGAGCTGCTTCCTAGTTGCTGATGTTTTCTATTATGTTTTTAACCTCTCTGCTCTGTGGTGTTTCCTGTCCTTCAGTCCAGATAAACACGACAGCTGGACAGACAGTCATTCTGCCATGTCAAGTTTCAAACCTCAACGGCGATCCCAGTGTGGTTATAGAGTGGAGCAGAACTGATCTGGGGACAGAAAATGTATTTTTTTACCAGGACCAGAAGTTTATTCCAGATGACCAGCATCGATCTTTTAAGAACCGAGTGGATCTGCAGGACAGAAAGATAAAGGATGGAGACGTGTCTTTGATTCTGAACAACGTGACAATTAATGACACTGGAACATACATGTGTTGCGTCTTCGTGAAGGGAGCAAAACACAGAAGGAGAGCAAAACTGGATAGTGACCTCATCAGTGTTGTCAACCTGAGAGTTGTTCCTCCAGGTGAGTGAGTAGAGTTGAGTGTGTGTGTGATCAGAGGTGAAGCTGCTTCCTGGTTGTTGATGTTTGTTTGTCTGTGAAGGTTTTCAGTCATCCAGGTCATCGTAATCTAAGGAGCTCGGAAAGAAAAGCATCTGGACATCTTTACGTTGCTTAAAGATGTTTCACCTCTCATCCAAGAAGCTTCTTCGGTTCTAGGTTCAAATGGCGGAGAGTCCCAGACTTAAGCCCGATGGGAGAACATCCCAGTGTACCTCAGACCCAGCAACACACCCAGACAAAAACTGGTTCTGCCCGAAGACAGAACTCAACAAACTTAAAATCCTTGTGTATACTGTACAATGTAACGAGGAATGCTCAGACCTCTAAATTAGAGAAACCAAACAGCCACTTCATAAACGCATGGCACAATGTAACGCAGTAAAGGATCAGGGTGCCTGACTGCAGCTTGATAATAAGCTAGTCAGAAGTGCTTCGACTACGGAGCCTGAGTGTGCGGATAAAATACAAACAACAGCAGTAGAGCTCAAATATACATGTATTATGTAAGATATGTTTGCACTGATTGCCGATCACGCTTCAACTGAGTCGTCCTCGGTCAGAAGGAATGGTACTCCACAGTGATGTAGTTCCAATAACTTTAATAAGGAGGTGGCAGATGACATCAACAGGATGTATAGCGTTGGTAGGGAAGCGATTGCATTACAGTATTCACATGCAGGTAAAGGGGGTGTGAGTGTGTATATGGGTGTGTGTGGTCATCTGTAAACAGAAAGAACAAGCATTTGTATTAACTGCTATGGATAGCAGTGTTCCCCTTATACAGTACTGTGGGTTTCCAGCGTAATGTTATACAATCTGCCATAACCTCATGGCCACTAGATGGCACCCTAGGACCATAAATGAATTTCTGGCTCGTATATAAATTGGCAAACCAGACCTATGCAGATTACAACGATTCAGAGAATAAACATAGTAAGTAGTTACATCTACCTACAACCACAATGCTTGACAGTAAGTCGTATATGAAATGAAATATGGGCTGAACACAAGGCTGCCTGTAGTAGGCCAGAAAAACGCATCTTAGCGATAGCAACGGGACTAGCTTCTTACCCAGATTACACAGTATTACACAGATAAAGTCAAACAAGCATCACTCTCATCTTACAATACTCACATGGTAAGCACGCACACAGTATTAGCCCACACAGGAACGCAAGTAAATACGTTACTCCTCCGACACACCTCTCATCTGTGCAGAACTGCGCTGAACACGTTCCCAACCGGAAGTACAGATATCGAGGTGCATCATGGGTAACGTAGTCTAAAACAGTTACAGTGAACAAGCGGACTTTTAACATATTATGTGTCTTATGGTGAGATGAAATTTATAGACAGATCTTTTGATTCCTCTGAGGCATCCGATAGAAGACAAAACACTGCTCAGTAGACCATTTAACACTTTATTACTTCTAGAAGGGAGCTGCATCCTGCATGACACGTTGCCGCAGATCTCAAATTGGTGGTGTGCCCCTGACAGTTTTATTACAGAAGCTCTCTTATTCTAGTCTAAACAACAGTGTCTCAGTAACTTTCCACTAGAGACGGTCCCCTCTTGTCTAATTTTCCCAGGCAAGCGTGAGCGGGAGTCTGCAGCTTTCTACTCCCCAAGAACACATGGTCTAACAGAACAGCGTTCTACTGCCATTACAATTGAAAAATAAATCCATAAATAGAAAAGTCAAATAATTAATGTCATATTTTATACAACAGCCAATAAACCAATAACCAAAGTCATAATTCTTATAATGAATTTCATTTAAAATAATGTTATAGAAAACCATTTGCATGGGTCCCATCAAAGTAAAGTAATTTAGCAATAAGAGTAATAAACATTATCCAAGGTTAATCAAATATTTCCAACACACATTTAATTGTATGTGTTGTGCAACACGTTCAATAATCTAAAAGGAATTCAAATCAATTCAGAAGTCCCATAGGCCGTTTTGGCATTCACTCAGAAAAGTAACAAAAAACTTCCAAAATGGACAAAACTACAAAAATCAGATCTCTCACTCAACTCTTCAAACGGTAATTTAACATTCAGCCATAGTGAAAAACTGTCTGTCACCAACTGTCTGCCATCTATAATTCAGTGTTGAGATCCTTTCCCAGACACCTTAACGCCTACGCACATCCTGGGCCTTTTGACCTCTCATAATAGGACTAGGGTCTTATGGGGCTAGATTTCACAATGAACTCACCTGAAACCTTGGCTGATTGTGACCTACACCTGTTTTTACACCTTGGCTATTGTGATTAGGTAGAGGATCATTAGGGGGTCCATGTCCCTTTTGGGGGGACACTCTTCTCGGTTGAGAGGTGAAATGTCTTCAAGCAACTTAAAGAAGTTCAGACGCTCATTAGACTTGATGTTTGTTTGTAAAGATGTTGTTGATGAGACATTGTAGAAAGCAGCTGGTCTGAGTGATGTGATCAGAGTGCAGTAGATAATGTCTGACAGCAGTTTGAAGAGGAAATGGATTCTGTTCTGTTCTTCACTCATCACCTACCTGACAGCTGACACCTCACACCTGTTTCTCACCTGCAGGTCAGCCAGGAGGAGACACAGAGGATGGAGTCATTAGATATAAAGTGATATATTTTCTTTTGTTTCTTGTACCAGTTCCTGTGGCTGTTATTTTGATCTGTAAAAAAAAGAACAAAAATAATCCCCCACTTCCTACTCCTCCGAGTGATGAAGTAGCAAATGAAGTTTACTGAACAATCTCTGCGTTGATATTATGGCTGCCACGATTA